ACTAAACCTATAAATATATGCACATAGATCTATTTCCCCATCCTCATATATAAACATATTTGCATATGTACATGTCTTTATCTAGACCTCTATAAATGCCCTTGGCCTCCCAGCTCTTTCCTTTGTTTCCCTTGACTTTCCTCCTGTCCCACTATCATGCTCAGTCCTCACCGAGGCTGTAATCCTCTTTCATGGCTACGTGAGAGAAGACTCCCACTCACAGATGGGGAGCGTAAGAGGGTCAGTAGTTGGCCCCTCGAGGCCCGGGGGGATTGGTGCTCTTATCCCTGACCCTTACTCCCACTGCCACTGCCACTGCCATCGAGTCCACTCTGATTCATGGGGACCTCGCTGAACAGAGTAGAACTGCTTCTTGGGGTTTCCAAGGCTGGGAATCTCTCCGGGCACAGCCAGCCTCTTCAGTATCTCCCATGAACTGGTGGAGGGTTTGAACTGCTGACTTGGCAGTTAGTAGCCCAATGCTTAGCCCACTGTACCACCAGGGCCCTTGTTCACTCACTTGCTCCCTGCTGTCAAGTCAGTGCCGACTCGGTGACCCTACACAACAAGGTAGGACTGCCCTGAGGGTTTCCGAGACTGCTGACCTTGAGGATTGAAGCCCAAGGTATAACCACTACGCCACCAAGGCTCCTCCAACCCGTGCCAGGAGGATATAAAGACAAAAATACTCCGGACATGTCTCTACTAAAAAACCAGACTCACTGCCATCGAGTCGGTTCTGACTCATAGCGACCCTACAGGACAAGGAAGAATTGTCACTCCACGGGAGTAGAAAGCCTTATCTTTCTCCTGCAGTACGGCTGGTGGTTTCAAAGTGCTCACCTTGTGGTTAGCAGCCCAATGGCTAGATGGGGGCAGAAAGCCTCATCTTTCTCCTGCAGCGTGGCTGGTGGTTTCGAACTGCTAACCTTGTGGTTAGTAGCCTAACTCATAACCCATTTTGCCACCAGGCCTGCATATTGCTTGGGCTCCCCTTCCGAGACCCACCCACGGGACTCACATGAAGAGGACGAGCTGGATGACGGGCGCTATTCGGAGGAGCTCCGAGAAGGAATTGACAAAGAGGTCATAGGTCAGCAGTAGGAACTGCAGCGAGAGCACCAGGCTGTAGTTACTGGTCTGGAGCATCTTCCTTCTGCTCTCTTGGGCCTCCAGGGGCACATTCCAGAGTTTTCCAGAAAACAGCTCCTGGCTCTCGCACCCACACAGAAGAGGCCTGCAGTCTGAATCACGGCTGTTTCTCTTGCTCTAAGGCAAGGATCTGCTGGGACAATAGGAAAGGAGAGGTTTCAAGTGAATATTGACCAGAGGCTACTGTGTGCCAAGTCCCACTCTGGGGGCTTAGAATGTACCAACAGGCACATCAATAAACCACCCCCAACAAAGCTCAACAGGTCACCACTAGGGACCCTTGTCTGCAAACCTTTCTCCAGGCCTGGGACCTGCTCACCCCTAAACTCTTTTGAGTTCAAAGGCAGCTCAGAGAACAACAGAGAGGAGAAACCATCCGAGGAGATAATAAAAATATTAATAGCAGCAAAGCCTTCTATGGCACTACAAACGGGAGTGCTGGGATTACTCTAAGCACTAGCTTTCTGTAAGCCCCACAATAACCCCACGAAGCAGAAGACAACCCGATCACAGCCCCCTTTTTACAGATGAAGAAATGGAGACTAGGGGGGTAAAACAGCCCATTCAAGGCCCCATAGCTAGTACATAGCAGAGCTGGGGTCCAGATGAGGCAATCTGAGTCCGGAGCTGGTGTTCTTCCCCATGTTGCTGTTCTATCTTACCCGCAGGCTGATCAGGATGGTGGGGTGGGGGTCGGGGGTTGGCCAGAAGAAGAAAGTGTGGCGTGGTGTAGACAGAAAGAGCCAGAAGTATAGACTGCTCTTCGGTGAAACTTCAACGTTTTAGATTATGGTAGCCACTCAGTGCCACCAGGTAAAGAGACCTGGGCCCTTCGTTCCATATCATCATCCAAGGTCCAGAGGCCTGTGACAACCTCCCTCCAGCTAGCTCTAATGTATGCCCACATTTTAAAACGCCCTCAAGTGCTCCAGCGATCCAAGCAACACCTATGACGTCGCTGGCAATCTGCAAGCTCTTATATTTATCTTATTTACTCCTACAGCCATCTTGAGAGGCAGTCCTTACGAAGCATCTTCTAGTCCAAAGTTTACAACGGGGCTCTGAGAGGTTGGGGAACCTCGCTGCGTCAACAGGTGTAGACGTCGCTGGTCTCTGAAGCCCGTCTCCGCATTGATCAAGGAATATTGACAGCCATCACCTGCACGCCCGGCACCACCGCAATGCAATTCGTAACAACGTTGCAAAGCGGGAAAGAATCGTGCCCTGTATTCTACCGGCAGGGCACAGGGTCAGAGGTTCAGCTACCTTCCCCCGGAGCCACCCAGCTCACCCGGAGCGGAGTCACAATCCATAACCAGGTCTGACGCCACCCCCACTTCACAGGCCGCCCCGAATCCGAATCCGTCAGACAGACTCGCGCAGGGCCCTGCCCTTTGTCCCCTGAGCTTCCTCCTCGACCATGCCAGGCCAAGATAAGGTAAGGTCGCCATGGCGCCAACCCCAAACCAACAACGACGTAGCGCCACACGCCCGATCACAGTGCCCACTTCTCACCTCAAAGAGCCATCCTCGGTCGTCATGGGGACGCCTTCCTGGCTTCCGGAAACCAGATGCCAATGCCGGAAGTGCCCGGAGGACGCGGGCTCCGCGGGCGCCATTCTACCTACACCCTCGGCTTTAGCTCCCAGCTTTATGCGTAGTTTTACGCTTTATGTTTGGAAAGTCGCCGTCCTGGGCCACCCTGCCCCAGGACTCCCGGTCGTTGTCGCCGGCTGACCAGCGCCTCCTGTCCCGCTGTGGGGCAGCCGCGGCCCGAACCTTTCCGTTCCCAGGGGCTGGGAGCCGCAGGATCAGACCGGCCCGCCGCGGCGCCTCGGCTCCCGGGAGCCTCGGGCAAGCGGTTAGGAATGCCGTTGGAGGCAAAGGAACGCGGGCCAGGGAACGGTGACGGCACCTCGGAGCGCGGGCCTGAGGCGACACGGGGCTTGGACTTCATTTCCCAGGCGGCCTTGCGCGGAACCGGAAGTGCCGCGAGGCTTTAAGACGGCGGGCCGCGGCGGCTTGCGGGACACTCGGGTTGCGGTGCTGGTTGCGGGCCGTCCTCCCTGACAACCCGGATTCCACTGCCCAGAAGCCCCCGAGTTGGCAGCGCCAGTTGGGAAGAGCCGGATCTCGGAGGCCCTGCGTCCCAGGGTGGTTCAGGAGTAAGAGTCCGGGCTGGGAGTTCAGGGACCTGGGTTCGAGTGCTGCCTCTGCTCCTACCTTGCTTCGCGCTGTCAAAACCCCTCGCTCGGCCGTATTTGCTTGTTCAGGAAGCGGACACCGTTCCGGTACCCTTCTGTAGGCACGAGAAGACAGCACACAGAGCCCCTCGCTCTAAAGCTCATCCGAGGTTAGCTGGGGCCAAGGACTCACTAGAAAGGAGAGTCAGGGAGCAGCCCCGAAGTTTCTGGAACGACCGAAGAGTCGTCTGGGCCAGGCTTGCACCTGGTGTGTGGGGGGCGCTTTGCACTCCCTCCAGCGCGGAGGAGGGCTTTGCTTATCTAGCTCCTGACAAGCATTTTGGACTCGTGGAGTCCTGAGCTCCTCACCCGAATTTGCAGAAAGCTACACTGGCCATGAGGAATCCTGGGAAACAAAGGGAAGCCGACTTGCATCCCTGACCCTGTTCTGCCATTCACTTTGAAGCCTCCTCATATAATGTTGTGGATTAGAACTCTAAGACAGCTTTTTAGGATTCCTGAAGTTCCTGTATCGATCTGAGGAGGAGGAAGCACAAGTAACTGATCTATTTCCTGTTTGTAGTCTTCAAGTGAGACGTACACTTGGGGACAGCCTTTCGCCAAGGCTGCGGTGCTGAAGGGGAGGTACCCACCTCTTACCCTTGAACCTGATGCGTTTTAGCTCAGCTTGGACGAATCCTTCCTATTAAGGGATTGAGGCTTGAAGAGTAGACTTATTTAGATGGGGCCAACATGCTACAACTCACAGGCCAAGCCTCACCTGCCTGATTTGTTTTTATGTTTTTAAGTGATTGGGGCAAAATTAAAAAAAAGATAAAGATTTGGTAGCATGTGAACTTGGATGTGAGTTGCATGTGTCTGAGTCTACATAAAATGCAAAGTTTGCTTGGAAGACAGCCATGCTCACTTATCTGTGGCTGCCCTGTCAGGACATCAGCTGATGACAGTTGTGACACGGACCTCATGGCCTGGGAGGCCTAAGATAGGTACTCTCTTGTCCTTTGCAGAAGAGTTCGCCGGCGGAACACTGCCTCAGAACAGGGCGTTAGAAAGCTAGGGCAGAATAGGAGGGCAAAGCACTGTGTCCCAGAAATGCAGGAAAAAACAACAGAGTCCATGAGAGGGCATCCTCTGTGTGCCTTGCAGCACTCACTGTACTTGCCCCCTCCTTCCTTCCTTTTGCTTTTTTAATGTCAATGGGCGCTGGGAGGGCTTGTCTGTACTGTAAGCAGAACAGCCCCTGATCCCTGCCAGGGACCACACACTGACACATGCACGCACGCACGCACGCACCCATTTCTTTATTCCAAGCCCTGGAGCAGTAATCTAGACCATGCCTGCAGTCACCTCTTCCTTTGGGGGCTGTATTTATGTTGCTTTTGTCCCTGGTGGCCTGCTACTTCCTCTGAGGCAGTCTGCGAGCCCAACCGGGAATCACGAGACTTCTAAGAAGCTCGTAGCGTGGTTGTCTTCTGCCCCCCTCTCGGGAGCATGCTCTCGCTCTCAGCTCTCAAACGGTTCACGGGGATCGCCTTGGGAGAGACCGGCGCCAGGGGAACTGACATGGCAAGGACCCAGGGCCACTGAGCACGGGCTTCCGGCTCTTGTTAGTGGTTAAGATGAAATGCAGTCACAACAATAACGAAACGGTGCAGGGTATTCTACACTCACCATGTGCCAAACAGACCACGAGTTAGGATTCTCACCTACTTACTGGGCTGCCCTGGACCAAGAGGCAACATGATAGATGGAGAAAAGATGCAGGCGGTCAGAGATCCACGTCACTTCAATCTGTAACACGCAGGGGGGGTCGGAGCCAAGAAATCAAATGATGTATCACCTCCAGGCCAATCTGCTGTGAAAGATCAAGTTCAAGGGGGAGAGAGCAAGGCGCTCAACTGTGAGGTGCACCTGACCCAAGCTGTAGTTGTTTCAATGCGGCAGCCTTAGAAGTAAGGACATTGAGATGCCTCATGTTCTTCTGACTGTTCTCAGGGTAGGACCAGTCGCTGGAGAAGGACCTCCGTTCATACGGAGGAGAAGAGGAAATACTTCAGTGAGATGGAGTGATGGAGCGGCTATGTCAGGCCTCGAACGGGCAGTGCTTCCGTCTGTTGTGCACAGGACTGCAGGGAGTCAGTCCGTCATGCTGAGCCTCAGTTTCCTTAGCTATAAAATGAGGCTCGGACACCCAAAGCCCATCTGTAGACAATTGGACATCCCTCACAGAAGGGTCACAGGAAGAGATGAGCCAATCAGGGTACAGTGTAGCACCAATGAAACAACTTTCCTCTAGTCCTTTAATGTCCGTACCCCCGCCACTATCATGACCCCAATTCGACCTTACAGATCAGGCTAGACCAGAGCATGTACATGAGTGCAGATAAGAGCTGGCAACACAGGGACAGATGAACCCCTCAGTACCAATAATGAGAGTAGCAATACCAGGAGGGGAAGGAGAGGGTGTCGGGGAGGGACCAATCATTGTGATCAACATATAACCCCTCTCGGGGACAAGGAACAGAAAAGTGGGTGAAGGGAGACAGCAGTTGGTCTAAGACATGAACAAAGTAATTTATAAATTATCTAGGGTTCATGAGGGAGGGGCCGTGGAATAAGCTACCAAGGGCTCAAGCAGAAACTGTTTTGAAAAATGGTGACTACAACCTATGCACAGATGTGCTTGACACAATACAATGATTCAGGGAAAAGGCTCCCAGCTCCAGGGCTGTGCAGAGGCTGCATGGGCTATGTATGAGGCCAGGCCCTGTTCCTTTCTGTTGTGTCTGGGGTTGCTGTAAGTGGGGGTTGACTCGCTGGCACCAACCCATCACCATCACGTAAGTGGGAGGCTGACTCACAGAGAGCCCACGTATCATAATGTAGGACTAACGGCCCCACAGGGTAGCCCTTGGCTGTCTCAATAGAAGCAGGTCATCAGGCTTTGTTTTCCGGGAGAGCTGCCAGGGTTCAGACCAGCAGCCTTTGGTTAACAGTTGATGGCCCCCTGCTGGCACACACACCCCACCCCACCCCAGCTCCTTGTTCATCATGGGTGCTCTCGAACCCAGATCCTTAGGGTCCTCCCGCCTTCCTTTCAGATGAGAAGACTGAGCGCCACAAGGGTGAGGTGACCTGCCCCCGGCTGTGTCCGTCGCTGAGCCTCTGTGGCCAGGTCCCCGTTCTTCCAGGTCTGCAGGTGAGCCACCCAGGGTTTCAGCTCCTTGGGGCCTCCTTCTGGTTAAAGAGGAGAGACCCCCGACAAGATGGGTGGACACCATGGCAGCAACAGTGTGCTCAGACACCAGTCACGGTCAGCGTGAGGAGGAGGCGTGTTGCATTCCGTGGTGCTCCGGGTCAGGAACACCTAACATCTACCTTCCTCTTAGCTGGTTCTGTCCCAGGGACCTTAGCCTGGTTGGTCAGTGCCTTTGCTCCCCCTCCCTGCCCCCCTTTAAGAGCAGCTGCTGAGTGGGGCTCGCTGCCTTCGGTGTCCCGGCTACGCAGTGGCTGTAGTGCAGGTACGTGTGGGCATCTCAGAATAGCGTCTGCTCTCTGGAGCACGCACTCTCGCTTCCTCCTCGCCCCCCTGGACTTTCCACGGAGGAAGAGAAAGCAGAAGTCCCGGGCCAGGGGACAGCTGCAGGGCCCCGCCCGACTCACGTGTGGCCTGTGGGGACTCGGGAGTGGAAGCCAGCTCTCCCCTCTCCAGGATAAGGGTCGGTCCCCCCAGGGGTCCCCAGCTGGGAGAGAAGAGAATTACTATAGAAGTGGGAGTCCATGGGGCTTACTTCAGAGAGAGAGAGAGTGTGTGCAAGCAAGCGCGCGTGCGTGTGTGTGGGTGGGTGGGTTTGGCTCCTTCCCTTCACATATCTGTCCAGCTCTTCTGGGGCTTGATTCTGACCTTCGGGTTCTCTGCCAACCAGATCCAGCTTTACCTGGCCCTCTGAGGGAACAAGTGCCAGGGCCCGGAGCAGCAGGCTGGAGCCGAGGTGCCCTTCAGAGCCAGCCCCAGCCTGAGCCTGTGCTGCAGGGCACGGCCACTTGGGGGCTGGGCTCACTCCTGGCTGCTCAGCCACTCTCCAAGCAGGGCATTGGGCTGAAAGCAGTCCCCCAGGCCCCTGAGAAAGGTCAACGTTGCCCCCATAAGTGAGTGGCCACCCAGCCATTTGGGGCGTGACTTCCTCTTCTCTCCTAGACGTGCGAGGCCAGATGGCTGTGGGGCGCTTTTACCTGTCCTGCCTGGCGCTGGGCACGCTGGGCTCGCTCTGCATCCTCCTCACCATCTACTGGATGCAGCACTGGCACAGCGGCTTCGCCTGGGACAGCAGCAGCCGCATGTTCAACTGGCACCCGGTGCTCATGGTGGCTGGCATGGTGGTGGTCTACGGAGCCGGTGAGTAGACCGGTCAGCATGGCCCATCTCCAGGGCTGGCCTTGGTCGTTGCTGGGTTGGAGCTGTAGGTCCCAGTGGGCCGTCCCTGCGCTCATGTGCCATTTGGGCAGAGAAGAGGCAGTGGGCTGACATCTGAGCAGGGCGGGTTTATGAGCGCTTCCTCTGCAAACTCTCTGAAGGGTCACAGAGAGAACTTTTCAGGCTCTGTGCTTGGCGTTGCCACTACTCCCCCTGCCCTTGTCTCATGAGAGCAGCCACACACGATTCAAAAAGCAGCGAGCATGGCTGCCTTCCAATAAAGCTTTATTGACAAAAAACACAGGTGGCGGGCCGGGGCTGGCCTCTGACCAAGGTGCCCCGGTGGCATAGTAGCTTAATACTGTGGGCTGCTAACTGAAGAGTCACCAAGGGCAGCAGTTTGAAACCACCAACTGCTCCTCAGGAGGAAAAAGAGACTTCCTGGTCCCATAAAGAGGCGCAGCCTTGGAAACCCACAAGGGCCGTTCTACCCTGCCCAACAGGGTCTCTAGGAGTTCGATGGACCCCATGGAAGCTGGTGTGGGGTCAGGCCCCTGAGTGAGGCACGTCTGCTCCCCGGGCCCGGGCCCTGCCTTTCCCAGCTTTGCCCCAGGCCTTCACTGTTGTGCTGTGAGGCCCAGCACACCTCGCTTGTCCCCCTTGTGAAATGGGCATCGCTGGGGTAGCTGCCTCGCCCACACACTTCACATACATCCCCGAAGCTTCTGACCACAGTCTTGTGTGGGAGGTGAGATTGTTCCTTCTACTTTACAGATGAGGAAACTGAGGGGGAGAGACCCACTCCCCACGAAAAACCCACCCAAAAACCAAAGCCAAGCTCACTGCCCTTGAGCCCATTCTGACCCCTAGAGACCCTCACTGCGTCTCGGGGGCCCCAGGATGGTAAGCCTCTTATGGGAGCAGCAGCCACTGCCTCCTCCCACTGAGCAGCTGGTGGGCTTGGGATGGTGCCCTGTGTCACCAGCTAACCCACTGGGCCACCAGGGCTCCCTGAGACTGAGAGAGGGACCGGTAGCAACTTAACGGCAGCGGTCGAATTTGGACCCAGGTTGGCCTGGTGGTGAGGACCTGCTCGGTGAAACGTATACTGTACACTGCAATGGCTTTTACCTGTGAAACTCCGTGTCGGTGGGCTTATGTTGTCAGGACCGCTCTTCCTTCAGGCCACGGCCACTCGGCTCCCTCCTCCTTGGCTCCAGGAAGGAGAGGGGACACAGGAGTGTTGCTATTGATGCCCCAACATGTCCTTGTCGCTGCCGCCACCCCATGGGGTGTGGGGAGGCTGGTTGGGACCCCATCAGGGTGGCTCCCCAGGTATGAAAGAGAGCTAGACTGGGGGTCTGGTCTCTGCAGCCTCGCTGGTGTACCGCCTGCCCCAGGCCTGGGTGGGACCCAAGCTGCCCTGGAAGATGCTCCACGCAGTCCTGCACCTGATGGCCTTCGTCCTGGTGGTGCTGGGACTGGTAGCCGTCTTCAAATTTCACAACCATCAACACATCAGCAACCTGTACTCCCTGCACAGTTGGCTGGGCATCCTCACCGTCTTCCTCTTCGCCTGCCAGGTGTGTGCTCAGCACCCAGGGGCCCTCGCTGCTCCTGCTGGCCTGGGGCGGAGCGCGCCAGGCCGGCATGCCCCCCTGTGGGTCCGTCCCACTGCTCCATGACCCAGCAGTGTCCTAGAAGGGGCTTTGGACGCTGATGTCGCCCTCCACCAGGGGGCAAGCTCCGGGAGGAGAGGAGTGGGCTTTGCAGGGAGAGGGGGACAGTCGCCATACATTCTGGGATGGTTGTGGGGTGGGAAGGGAGCACCTCAGGGACAGTGAGGAAGCCAGGTGTGTGCACGACGGCAGGCTAACGCCTGCCTGGAGGTCGGGCCGTTCGGCTTATTGCTTCACGTCCTGGGCCCTGAGCCTCCATTCTGTCTCGGGGTGGGGTGGGGTGGGGGGCAGTGCCTGCTGGGGAGCGGTTGGGTTGGGAAAGAGGGGCCAGGCCAGAGGTGGAGGGAGACTCTGGGCTGGCTGGATGGCTGGCGGGAGGCCCTGGTCACTGGATGTTCTGTGCCCGCAGTGGGCCCTGGGCTGTGCCATCTTCCTCCTGCCCTGGGCGTCCATGTGGCTGCGCAGCCTCCTGAAGCCTCTCCATGTCTTCTCGGGCACTGCCATCTTCTCTCTGGCCATGGCCTGTGTCATCTCGGGCATCAACGAGAAGCTGTTCTTCAGTCTGTGAGTGCCTTGATGGGCCCTGCTCCTGAGGGGGCGGGCGGGTCTTAACAGACACACCCTGTGACCACAGGGCCCTCCAAGGAGGAGAGCCTCTGGGCTTGGGCTGTCCCTGCCAGGGAAGGTGATGGATCAATCCCCTTTGAAACGGAGGTTGGCCAGCAGATACTTACTACGTAGCAACCCTCACTGTGATGTAGCACCTACTGTCAGCCCCCGTGGGAACCCCAGTGACATAGTGTTGGGCTGCTAATCACCAGGTCAGCTGTTCGAAACCGCCAGTCGCTCTGCTGGGCAAAGACGAAGCTTTCTACTCCTGTAAAGAGGGGCAGCCTCAGAAGGCCACAGGGGAAGTTCTCCGCTGTCCCATGGGGGCGCTCTGAGTCAGCATCGCCTCGATGGCAGTGAGCTTGGTGTGGTTTTGGGTGAGCCCGGGCGGGGGAGGAGGTTGTAGTGGGCTGCTGGCCGGAAGGTCCCCTCAGGCCCTCCGAGGGAGAAAGACAAGACGTCCTTCTAACACGAGGTTGCGCAGTGTTGGAGACCTCCGGGAGCAGGTCTCCTCTGCCCCAGAGGGTCGCCCCAGTCCGTGTCCACTCCGTGGCAATGGTGAGTCGTCAGTGGCTGTAACTTTTATGGAAACAGACTGCTACATCTCTCCCCCACGCAGCAGCTGCTGGGTTCAAACTGCCAACCTTTGGGTTAGCTCAGGCCACACCACTCAGACGGACGGGGTCGCAGTGTTGAAATCGACTGGGTGGCAACCGGCTAGAGATTCTACGTGTGCCATACAGGGTCCGGGTCTGGGCCACTCACTGGAGACTGGCGGCCTGAAACCTGCCCAGAGTGCCTGGGAAGAAAGCCCTGAAAAAACAGCCACGGAGCAAACCCTACGGGACAGGACACAGCTCCACACCGGGATGGGCAAGGCTGCCGAGAGCTGGAATCAGCCGGCAGCTGGCCCCGGTGTTGGGTTGGTGTGTCACACGCTGTTTACTCCAACACGTGATCCTCTCAACTGCCTGGCGGCATCAGGCCCAGCAGCTTGCCTAAAGGCACGCGGCCAGCATCCATGGGCAGTCTGATGGCACCGCCTGCTGTAGTCTAACCACTCCCAGCCCCCACACAGAAGAGGACAGATTTGCATTCAGGCCAGAGCCTGGCCCCGTCTGGTGCCATTTCCACGTTAGGGGACCTTGGACAGGCCACAGAGGACACTGCTCTGAGATGCCCTTTTCCTGAAGATCAAGAGCAAATAAAAGCTCACTGCCATCCGTGGCTGCCAACCCACAGCGACCGACCCGACAGGACTGAGGAGAACCGCCCCTGTGGGTTTCCGAATCTGCTAACTCTTTATGGGAGTAGAAAGCCCGGTCTTCTTCCTACAGAGCAGCTGGTGGTTTTGAACTCTGACCCTGAGCAGCCCAACACTTCACCACGAGGCCACGAGAGCAGGGCACTGGTGGTTGTGGCGTGGAGCGTGTGCTCCCCGGTGGTCCTGGGAAGACTCTCTCTCTCCCTTCTTGGTAGCGGGCCCCCTGCTGAGTGAACGGTCCCCAGCAACCCCGTCGCTCTGTCACCTCCAGGAAGAACACCACCAAGCCGTACTCCAGCCTGCCGGCCGAGGCCGTACTGGCCAACAGCACGGGGCTGCTGGTGGTGGTCTTCGTGCTGCTGGTGCTCTACATCCTGGCCTCGTCTTGGAAACGCCCAGAGCCGGGGGTCCTGACCGACAGACAGGTAGGAGGGTCTGGCTGTGGTCCACGGCGGGGTGGGGCCAGGTCTAGGGATGGGCCATTGGGAAGGGCTTGCCAAGAAGAGTAGCCGAGTACTAAGGAGGGAAGCCAAGTGGCCCGAAAGTGGCATTTGGTGGGCCCAAGGGGGTCACGGTACCACACCAGCCAGTCCTATGACTCAGCCTGGGCCTGGGGCCTGCCCATCAGGGGAGGACAGGGCTAGCAGGGGGAAGTGTGAGGGCCTTGAGCATGCTGGGAGCTCAGCTAGCCTTGCGGGACAGGAGCTGGGGGCTGAACAGGGTGCTGGCAGCAGATCTAGCCGTGGCATGTGGTGATGGTGGCCAGGCTGAAGGGCTTGGGGGCTTGAGTGGGACCACCCTGCCGCTCAGGGCCTGAGTGAGGCCATGCCCTCGCCCCTGTGCATCTCGTTCCAGCCCCTGCTGAGTGGCGGGCAGTGAAGCCGGTGCTGCAGCGTGTCCCCGCCTCAGACTCGACGTGCCCTCTCCAGCCAGTGTCCCTGTGGCTCTGAGCCTCTCTGCCCCTCTGCGTAGCCTGCTCTCCAGCCGCTGGCAGCATCGGCATTGCTAGGTGGTGGCGGCGGTGGCTTCTGCTCCTCAGGCTCCCCGTGTGTCCCGGGGCTGCCCTACCCTAGCGGCGGCCTCCTGCTGCCTTCTGGGTGCCTGCTCACTCTGAAGGAGGCAGGCGATGTCCCCTGGGAGTCCCTCCGGAAGTGGCACAAGATCCTGATAGCTTGGGAACAGGGGCCTGAGTGCACTTACAGGACCAGAGGGTAGCTCACCCGCCGCATGTGAGCTTGGGAGGGGACCCAGGAAAGGTCTGAGTGGGTGACATGTAACCGTGTGCCCCTCCGCCCCTTCCAGTTGCTGCCTCGGCCTTTCCCGGTGGCCTACATGCCTGTTGCAGAGGACGCCTGCTGACCTGCTCTTCGGGGAACAGGCCCGGCTGTCCCCACAGGAATGGAGAGCAGGGGTCAGACTTTTGTTTCCCCTGCCCCTTCCTGCGTCCTAACAGACACACCCTGTGACCACAGGGCCCTCCA